GATATTCTGCGGGAAAAAACATGCAACAAACAGGAACTGGCACTAGGCACTGAATCAATATGTTAGTCCATAAAATAATATAAAATATTGCCAAAAGTATATGAAAGTTATAAAATATTGGCATGAAACAATAAAAAATTATAGATACGACGAAGACGTATCAGGAGACGGCGTTCCCCTGTGTTGGCCTAGAGCCGACACTCGTCGACCTCACCAGCCCCGACACTGATGACGAGGACACCTAGGGCAGCGCGCCTCCTCCTCCTTTTTAGTTTTATTAAATATTTTAATTAATGTAATGTGGACCCATGGACTCTCGCCGGCCTTTGTGGCCGGCATTTTTTTTAAATTGATGTTTTTAATTTCAAAATATTTGCATTATTTATTTTTTCGTTCGCGAACTAAAAAAATGGGTCGGGCCAGCGTTGGACGCAAGCATCGACCCAAACACGAAAGCGGACATGGGTGTCCATTGGGCCGACCGAAACGAACAAAGAGCAGACAAAGGGCGCGTCTGTTTGGGTCGCCCGGTTGGAGTTGCTCTAAGAAGTAAGAACTCAAGTACCGCCTCTCCCGCACGATCAACAACACAAACTTTATTGATCACCTCGTGCAATCGTAACTTTCCCCAAACCTCTTCCGCCTCCTGGAACAGAAACAAGACGTGTTTTGTATCTTCTGGCCCATTCAAGCATAATGGGCAAGTGGGCGAAACTTTCATGTGTCTATTAGCAATCATAACCCGATATGGAAGGGTTCCACGCAAAGTACGCCAAATGAAAAAATCTATCTTTGCCGGACAAGATAATTTACAAATCTTACCCCAAATAGGATTAACATTGGTTATACTATTTGAATGTTGCAATTTTGTCCCATGTTGTTTGTCCCATTCCTCCAAATAAGTTGATCGTATAGTGAAAAGACCATTTTGTGTATAGCTCCAAGCAATGAAATCCGACATATTATACATTGGAAGGGGAATCATGAGCACCCTTTGAGCATCAATTGGCCACAAAGTTTGTATCACCAAATCTTCACCCCAAGAACTCGTAACCGGATCAATAAGATCAGAAACCTTTGACAGAAGTTGCCCCCTAGGAGTAATGAGTTTCCTATTCACACATTTCAGGATCCATGCATCTCTCAAAATATCAATATTTTGTCCATTTCCAACTCTCCAGATGTAACCATTTTTAGAGAATTCACTCCCGCCATAATATTTTGCCAAGTAAAAGAGGAACCCTTTTTTTATGCTAGTGTTCATTAAATCACCTTCCGGAAAGTATTTAGCTCTCAAGATAGAAGCTCGTAAGGATTCAGGATTATCAAGCAGACACTATGCTTGTTTGGCTAACAAAGCCAGGTTGAAACAATGTATTTCTATGAAACCCATACCTCCTTGGCTGTTTGGGAACACATCTTCCACCATGCCATACGATGCATCCTCTTCTGGTTGTCCTCATCACCTCACCAAGATTACGACATCGCGTCAATGATTCCTTTACATTTTTAGGTATTTGAAAGACGGACATGACATAAGTTGGTATAGCTTGAACAACAGCTTTGAGTAAAATTTCCTTTCTCCGGCGGATAACAATTTTTCTTTCCAACAGTTTGATTAATTAGGAATTAAAAACAATCACTTTTGTCCATACCAATATTAGGAGGCAAAACTAAATATTTATCACTGAGGGCTTCAGTCATAATATTTAGAATTGTACAAATTTGCCTTATCTTTCACCTTTGTATTGGGACTAAAAAATATACTAGACTTTTCAACGCTTATCATTTGCCCCGAGGCTGCACAATAAGAATCCAACATTGATTTCAGAGCCTCAGCATATTCGTAGCATTTGTTTTCTTGGGAAAGACCATCATGGCTAGCTTTACTAATCTCAAATAATAGTTACATCGTTCACCAATTGTCTAACCAAGAACTTGGGAGGTTCGTTTGTCCAACTGTTATCACATTTATTATAAAAACTAAAATTTGCTAGCTCATGAGCCACTGAATTCACTTCACGGGAACAATGAGTAAAGATGACCTTTCCTACATAAGTAGTCGAATCTATGCATTCAGCAAAGATGGCTGCAACTGCATCCCACCATTGATCTTGTCCTCGGCAACAATTGATGACGCTCAACGAGGCCGACTCCGCTTCTATTCTGTTGAAACCCAAGGAGTTCACCAAAACTTAATCCATCTCGCATTGCCATTGCTTGGATCGTAACAATATCCGCTGCCAATGGTATGAATCTGCAAAACCCTGCAATGAAACTTCCATTCTCATCACGCAATATACCTGAGCCCGCCCCTTCATCATTGTGGTTGTGGAATGAAGCATCTTAAGTTTTATAAACCGTGCCTCCGGTCTCTTCCACTTTTGTTCCACCGGTTCTCTCTTCTTTGTCACCGTATTCATGTAGTTTTTCACCACAGCTAGGATGGAAATGTGCCATCTGAAGTGAGGAGGAACAGAATCATGGTGGGTGTGTCGTAGCATTTGTTATTGTTAAAGACAAGACTTGTGTTGTTGTTATTTTTAGATCGTGTCCGGCGGTGCCGCCCGGGAACTCCTATGTGACGCATTCTGCGTCAACTAGGTGCGGCTTCGCACAGGAGCAGCTGACTGGCGGGCTTTGTGGGCCGCGAGGCGCGCGTTTCCCTGGTTTTGAACTGTTTCTACTGCTTCGTTGATTCTGCTTCACGAAGCTGTTCCACTGATTGTTGTCCCTGCTGTTTTCCACTGTTTCTTCTGTTTCTACTGTTTCTTCTGTTTTCCTTGTATAAACTAAACAATGGTACAGTTTCAACTGTTTCCCAAAGAAAACATGAAAGATAAAAACCTTGAATTTACTAAACAATGGTTGTAGGTTCCATTTTTATGAAACCAGGTGCTGTTCCTATTGATTCAACTAGTTTTTAATTATAAAAAAACATGAAATTTCATTTTACATTTATTACAAAGTGGTACTTCTAAAACTGTCATAAAAGTGGTAAGCTTACATCTTGATGAAATTGAGTGATGATAGTATCACCAAGGCATCATGAAAGACAAAAAAATGTACATGTCTTACTGCTCGTTTTCATAACTGTTTCAGCTGTTTTCGGACATTGTTTACAGTTGAAGGTCTTGGAAGAAACTATCACTAGATCAGCAAGAGAAAAAAAAGATAGCTCTATCGGTAAGGAAACATTTTTCCCATGGAAGTATTCCTTTGAGTTGAATCTTGCAGTGCACTTCCCTTGAAGGTGATAGTATTAATGAGACCCTTAGAATAGAAAGAAGAATTAGAAGAAACATATACGCGATTAGAAGAAATTAATTTCACTGTTTGGTATGAAAGAACAAGCTCTAAAAAAATAACATCTCTTTTGTTTCCATAGGAGAGAAAAAAAATAGAGAACTTACATGTCTCTGCAGGAAAGAAGTTACTAACGGCAGCTGAATTTCATTGTCCTTGCATGTTACAATCTCAAAAAGAAATTTCTGAGGTAGAGCTTGTAAATCATCCTACAGTATTTTAACATGTGAACAAATTTTTGGAATATTTTTTGACATAGAGCTTGTAAATTTCATTGTTCACATATTTTTTGGAATATGTGATCAAATTTCGGAAACAAGAACAATTTTTTGAATTAGTAAAAAAAATAAACATGTGGACAATTTTTTGAATTTGTAAACAAATTTGGAAACATGAACATTTTTTGAACATGTGAACAAATTTTATGAAAACCGAAAAGTTTGAATTTCCCAAACATTTTTCTGAAATTGAACATTTTTGGAGTTTGTGAACATTTTTATGAAGCATGAACGATTTTGGAATCTTGAGAACAAATTTGGAAGCGCGGATTATTTTTTGAAGCATGAACATTTTTTGAACGTTGAGAACAAATTTTGAAACAAAGAACAATTTTGAAAAATCCTGAACAAATTTGGAAGCATGAACAATTTTGTAAAGCACGAACATTTTTTGTTTCTTGAGAACATATTTTAAAGTAGAGAACAATTTTGAAAAATTCCAAACAAATTTGGAAGTGCGAACATTTTTGAGAAACGCTATTTTTGAGAAAAAAAACATGAAGATTGTATGAAACAGCGAACACTTTTAGAAATTGAGAACAAAATTTGTAAAAACTCAACAATTCGAAAAATGCAAACAATTTTTGGAAATGGGAACATTTTTGTAAAGTCTCCCAAAACCCGAACATTTTCAAATTTGAAAACAAATTTTGGATACTTGAACATTTTTTAAAACTTGGAACTTTTTTTGAAACTCCCGAACAAAACTTGAACACATGAACAGTTTTTAAAACTTGCGTACATTTTTTCGAAACTCCCGAACAAAAATTGAAGCATGAACATTTTTTGCAATTTGCGAACAATTTTTTAAATGGAAACATTTATGGAAACTCGCAGCAAAGTTTGAAAACATGAACATTTTTTGAATTTGGTGAACAAATTTTGAAATTGGATTATTTTTTGAAACTCCCAAACATAACTTGAAACATGAACAAAAAGAAAAGAAAAAGAAAAGAAAAAGGAATTGAAAGATGAAATAAAGAAACAGAAAAACGAAGAAAGAAAAAGAAAAGAAAGAAAAAGCTATAAAGAAAAAGCAAACAGAAAAAACCAGTGAAAACCCGGTTCAAGAACCTTCCAGAAGGTTCCCAAAACCGTTCAGGAACCCTCCAGAAGGTTCCCAAAACCGGGACGCTGTAGCGCCTGTGCTATCTCGTGACTGGGCCGGCCCATCTTGATCGCTAGTCGCTCGCTTCTCTGTGCGAAGCCTCGACAACTGGACGCAGCGAGCGTCCAATAGGGTTTTCCGTGCCGCCCCACGTTCATCCAGGGTGGGCCGGGGCGGAGCGGTGTCCGGGTACGTAGAAGCCCATTTGTTGCCTCTGCCGGATGCAGTCCATATTCGGCCTGCACACTAGTGCTCAGATTTTCAGCCCACCACTCAGCCGTTCTCCTCGAAGCTGCGGGTGACTGAAAATGGCAACCGAAACCCGGCGACGAGATCTCACCCCCCCTCGTGTCATGTCACTCGTGCCCAACTCCTCCCCGTCACCGCTCTACCCGGCCAGCCAGATCCAGATGTCTGGCACGACTCGCCGGCCGGGCAAGCCGCCGCCGCCATCTCACGCTGCGAAGCGGCTGGCACTGCGTCTGACCACCCCCCTCGCGTCGCTGGCCCTCCTCCTATGCGCCGCCGCTGGCGTTCTCCTCTACTCCAAAACCATCCCGGCGTCCCAAATCGTCGGCCGCTCAAAGGAATCCAGTACGGCGTCGACGGCGCCCTCCTCCCCGACGGTGGAGTCGATCGAGGGCGCGCGCGCCATCTGGGAGCTCCCCGCGGCGCCGGCCAGGGGGGTCCTCTTTGTAGCCCACGGCTGCCGCTGCCGGCCGGAGAACTTCTGGCCGCCGTCCCAGCGCTGCCCCGGATGCGTCGGGCTGCCGGAGGACGTCGCCATCACGGCCCGCGCGCTACGGAGGCGGTTCGCGGTGCTCGCAGTGGCGAGCGCCGGGGACTGCCGGTCGCTGGGGAAGGAGGTGGGCGCCGCCAAGCGGGCGATCCAGTCTTGGACCGCCAAGAACGGCCTCGGAGGCCTGCCAGTGGTCGCCCTCGGCGCGTCGTCAGGTGGGTACTTCGTCTCCCGGCTTGCGGCCAAGATGAGCCTAGCCGCCGTCGTGATGATGATCTCTGAGGGCGTGTTCGACCCGGCGGGAGCGCCGCCGGGCTATCCGCCGTCCTTGTTCCTTCACATGCCCAAGGACTATAAGACGGCCGCGCTGGTGGGAAGGAATGTGAAGATGCTGAGGAGCAATGGCGTTGAGGCGAGGGAGCTTCAGAGCCTGGAGCTTCCTCTGACGCCGACGCTGCTGTCCGATAGGATACCAGGGCTGGATCATGGGTTGTCTGAAAGGATTTGGAAGGTTTTCAGTGAGGAAGGATTCGTTGATGAGAGGGGGTACATGAGGAAGGATGGCCGGGCAACTCCATGGAAGAATGCAGTGGTGAAGAGGGGGTTCTGGGAGGAGGTATCCCAGTGGGCTAAGCACATCCAAGAGGAGCTGAATCTTGCTTATGGATACCATGAGATGACAAGCTTGCAGAATGATGAGATGTTGAATTGGATTGAGGAGCACCTGAAATGAGCTTTGTTGTTGATACTTGATTAATTGTTCGTTGCTGTCTGTCATACGGGCTTACCGGCTTAGGATGAAATGGTGCTAGTAGTTATGTCGCAGAAGAAGAAACTGATACACTGGTTGGTGAAATTGGAGAGGAAACTATGGGGTTTAGCTCTGGGAATTCATCTAACATGAATCGACACTGAACTACGGAACATACAGGCATTATGTTAAGTAACAAATTGACTTGATGCGAATATGTACATTTCCTTCAGTTGGCTCTTGTGCAAATGAAGGGGGGAGAAGAAGCATAAACAAAGATAGTTTAGTAAGTTTTGCTCTGATCTTTAATGTAGGCCATGTCTTTATGTACATGAATTTGTGCATGAATGTTTTTTTTTGCGTTCTTAAGAGCCAACATTGCATGAATGTTGTTGTTTGTTTCGTTGAACCATCGCACTCTGAAACTGAATCATTGTTTTAGTTCGGTTGATAAGATAACGGAGCCTGGCCATGGTACAATTACTGGCTAGTGCGTGCAGTAAAACTAAAAGTTCTTGGTCAGTAGAGCTAAGCTCGATATCTTTATGTGAGTACAGTATAATATTTTTCCTTTTCACACTTGATGTTTACCCTCTTATGGTAAGCACATTTACTATTATCTCCAAGTACACTTGCATTGGGTCGCCTATTCCGTCCTTCATCATTCATTTTGCTGCAAATATGGCCAGATATATGCAACCTTCGAAATCTTCTCTGGTCTTTTTAACTGTGACTTTGTGAGTGAGGATATGGCCCAAGTGTCAATAATATAGTTTTGTTGATTTGCTGATTAAGCTTCATTTGAGCTGGTTGTGGCATGTTGAAACTTATGGGCAATATTTTTTGGGGTACAATGACCTCTTGGGGGTATTCTGTTTTTATCGTTTGTGATTACAATGCCGTCAGTTTTGCAGCTGACTGAAATCATCGTGTGTTTTTTCCGTCACCAAGAGTGCTTTTGGTCACAATCTTAGTTGGGGGGGCAGTTTGACTGAAAAGCAGAGTTTGGATCATCAGCAGGAGTGGTTCTTTGCTAAGTGCTAACTAGAAATGTAACTTCCGCTACTATCAAGGTTCTTCAGTTCGCATCTAAAAAAAATGGTTCAGTTCGACCTGCGGAAATCGGCAAGGTCGAGTGGGGTTTGGGGAAACATAGACTACTGTATTGGTCGTGACTGAGTGTGGGTGGATGGCCCTTGCGTTTCATATGACAATTCCTAATCAAAGAGAGAAGGAAGTCTTGTTAGTCTCTTCATGCTCGTTGCATTGGTCTTGCTCGGGCTGAGTACAGATTAATGGTCTAAAACCATGGCAAGAATTATGGAATGGATGGAGTAGTAAATAACTTCTTCTTTTTTTTGCGAGAAGAGTAGTAAATAACTTCTATCAGACAATAATAAGCAAATGATTGTATGGTTTTAAAAAAGTTGAAGCTATAATGCAAGTCCCGAGTTAAAGGTGGAGGTTAACAAGCCTTGTGCCCGATAGGAATGAGAGTGTTCTATTCTACTTCATGAGCAAAACCTATACGACAACTAACTACAGTCAAACTCTTCCCTCAGATCAGAAAAAAATAGTCAAACTCAAGCAGGGACAAAACCATGCAAAATAGAGTAGCCCTTCAGACTAGCCATAATGGGAGTAACTTCAGCAGTAACTTTAAGTCCAACTCAGTAAATTTGTCTATGTGGCAATGAGTTAATGAAGAGAGAGGTAGTTCTAGTAACTTAGCTAGTTACTGTAACATCACATGTTCCAATGCAATATGAGTCTATAACCTAATAAATAGAGCTTTGCATGACACCACACCTATGTTACTACTCACTATGAAGGTAATAATATAGTCTAATGATATGTGTATGTTACTCTCCATTGTGGCTAGTCTCATGCTTTGACTCATTGGCTTGTTGTCTTTCTCCTTAGGAATAATGATGGTGGACCTACTTAATAAAAGTGGCACAATGGTTTTAGTCCTTTACTCTACAAGCAAAAAAAAAAATTTGCTTCACGGTTTTTTGTATTGCAGATCTGTGAGTTTGTGTGGCTGCACAAATGTTGAGCTCTTTTACATAGTGCTTAGTCTGGTGTTGGGATATGATTTTGATTATACAATTTGTTTTATCTGAATAAGACAAATGAAGCCCACCAAAAGGACAGATACCCCTAGTCGTGGTGTTGACGCATGTGCACACCAAGAAGAGGCGTCGTGGATCAATCACAAGCAACATAGTTGTTCCAAGGGACATGTTTGGACAGTTCTTAGACTGTATGCATTGGAGATGATTTTAGGTATGCAACAACTTCAAGAATCATTTTTTTTTGCAGGAAAAAACTTGTAATTACTCACGTAGCCAAGCTACTCAGAGTTACAAAGTTCGACAATGCCATCAAGGCCTGAACCTAGCCAAACAACAATACGGCCACTAGTTCTACCATACTAAGCTAAGGTATGACTGACAATGTTGTTGTTTCGTCGAGCATGAGCAATACAAGTATTTCGGAGTGCCATGAGCGATTTAATCTCACGCACCAAAAAACCATACCGAGATCTATCAAAACCTTCATTCCTCACCATATTTGTAGCTTCGAGGCAGTCGGTCTCGATTTTGATAGGAAGAATACTCCACTGCAATGCGAGCGACAAACCCACTTTGATGGCCAACAATTCACTGTGGAGATCTCTTGATTGTATTGCGTTGGAAACGATTCATGAAATTGTCACATCATAAGTTTTTAGTATTCCGCACTCCTTCTTTGTCCTACCAGGTTCCCTCGATCATATCAATGTTTCGCAACACTCATAGTTGTTCCAAAGACTCACTTTTGGGCAACTGCCCCTGGAGCCGGAGTTCATGGTGAATAGTAACAAGTACACCATGGGATACTTCTTGTTGATGGTATCTACCCTGCTTATGCCACTTTTATGAAGACCAATTGCAATACACAAAGCCAAGAAGAAATTTCATCTTGTCGAGGTTCATGAAGGAGTGATGAAGGATGTCGAGAGGGCATTTGGTGTTCTATAGACTTGCTTTTGCAATGGTGAAGGGTCTTGCGAGATGGTCACACATGCATACTATGTGGAACACTATGATTTCTTGTGTGATCTTGCATAACATGATCATTAGGAGCGAGCAGACAGGTCCATTTTCCCCCATATGTCCGAGCAGACATGTCCGAACACTGAAACACCCGCCCAACGGGCTCCCCCAAACCTGGGCCAAATGTATGGACCCCCCCCTCCCCCCCTCCCACCCACCAAAAAAAACCCAACCCATATGTGAGGGAGAAATGGGGTAGCCAGTATATGCCTGTTGTCCACCACACCGGATTGACATCCAAGGCTCATCCCAAACCCCACAAGTACCTCGTGTGGTCCTCACTCTCCCTCTCCACTCCAACCTGTCGTGTCCTCTCTACTCCACCCAAACTCTAGCTCCATCTGTCGCCATGTCCGGGTGGGAGTTCGATGACATTGATTGGGAGCTTCAAGAGGCAGAGGGCAACAAGGAGCTCATCCTATGCCGATTAGTCCATGACACCGGAGGGCTCTGACGTGGGTCGAGCAGCCGAGCGTTGTCGCTGCCATCCCGGCGTGTGCCGAGCGGCAACAAGCCATCCCGGCCACCCTGATGCTGGTTTCTCACCCGCCGCGCTCTGTCACCACTGCAGCATGGGCCGAGTGGTAGTGTCATCCCTGGCAGCATGGCGGTAGTTGCCGTTAAGGTGTCCTTATATTAAGACTTAAGAATTGCCCAAAACATTGTTTAGGGGCTCTATTTTAGGAGGTACTGTCGGAGACGATCTAAAGTTTGAATGTGCAAAGAGAAAAAAGAAAATTAACCCACTATCATTGGAAAGAAAAACGGGAATGTTAAAAATCTGGCGTCGGATTTTTAAGTATGACAAATCTGGCGTTTAAAATGACAAATTATGTTGTCGCGAGTATGACAATTTTATTTAGTAAACAAGGCAAATCCCGGCAAAAAACTGAGCACGGAAAATCTTTGCCATGCTTGCTGAAAAAATTGCTATGCTTGCAATAATATATGCCATCAAATTTGTAGCGAAATTCAAAAGCAAAGAGAAGGAAAAGCTAGATTGTTCAGTCTCCACCGATTTCCCGCGGTCGCATCCGCGCGTACGGCGAACCGAGCGCCGCAAGAAAATCCAGCTTGACAGCAACTGATTCAACGAAGCGGTGCGCTCCCGTTGGTTCCATGCGTAGTCATAGATGAGGGTTTCTTGGGAGCCTACACCTGTTCCACCATAGGTCAGCAGCCACATCCAGCGTGCCTATATAGGCATCCAATCCCGCCTCTCCTACCATATCTATCACTTCCCGGAGTTCTCTGTTTAGCGGCGCTCAGCCCTAAGCACGTATACGCCACGCTGATTGTAAGACAATAAGTTTTGAGAACCAGCACAACCCTCTAGGGGTGGCTTATCTCATTATATATAATGTTTTGTTACAATACGTACATAGGTACAGAAGTTATACATAGTCTAACACCCTCCCTCAATCTTAGCCACTTTCTAAAGAACTGAGAAGGGTAAGATTGCGCCTACAAGCCTCAAACTGTGGCAGTGGTAAAGGCTTAGTGAAGATATCTGCAAGTTGATCCTTAGACGAGATAAACTTGATCTGAAGTTGCTTCTGTGATACACGTTCCCGTACAAAGTGATAGTCAACTTCAATGTGTTTCGTTCGGGCATGAAATACTGGATTTGCAGAAAGGTATGTAGCACCGATGTTATCACACCAAAGAATAGGAGGCTGTGGTTGAGACAAACCCAACTCCTGAAGCAAAGACTGCACCCAAATAATCTCTGCAGTAGCATTAGCCACAACCTTGTACTCAGCTTCAGTACTGCTACGTGACACAGTAGCCTGTTTCCGAGCACTCCAGGCGATCAAATTAGAGCCAAAGAATACTGCATAACCCCCCGTGGATCGCCTGTCATCTGGGCTACCAGCCCAG